ACTCAGCGGTCCTGTTGCTCTATTTTTTATCTGTTGAGCAGGAGTTGAGCAGGAGTTGAGCAGGAGTGGGGCAGGCAGAGGTTTGCCCTGGTGCAGGTGTGTCGCAGCCTTTATGTCAGTGGAAGAATCCGGGAGTTTCTCTGTGAATTTTCCCGTGTTAGCGCACTCGGTGCTTGATTGGACGTTTAGGGGGGTTTTTTCGCTGTAAAAAGAAGTTATCTTCCCACACAGTGAACAGCGGACGCTAATGTTTTTGTCACTTTTTACGGAATTAAACTCAAAGTAAGGTCAGTACTTCCACGCTTTAAACGCTGCACGCTCATACTCTCTCCGCACTCGATATATGATCCATTGTTGATCTGCACACAGCTGTTGTCACGAACGTCGCACTCGCTTACGTCATTGACATGAGACACTCTCGCAAAAAAATCACGGTTTTAGTAACGCAGTATTGCAGCGTGCTTACGGGAAAGTAACGGTAATCGAATTACCTTTTTTGCAATAGTAATCCCTTACTTTACTCGTTACTTGAAAAAAGTAATCGGATTATCTCTGCAGATAACACTTATCACTTTGTGTTGTTTCAAGCTGAAGAAATTGTGATTAAGTATGTAAATGTCCTGAGCTTTAATAACAATAATACTTTGAAATACATATGTGCCTCATGTTAATTCCTCCTCAGTAGCTTTTCTTTTTGTCTTTTTTTCTGTCAGAAAGGTTAAACAAGAACTAACAGTTCTGTACAGTCATCGGCACTCTGAGCGGAGAGAAAGGAAAAAATTTGTGTTCAAGACAGAAACAACTTACATTTTACTGTTAACACAACTTTGGTCTTTGCAAGCATCTGCACAGACAGTATCCTAACACAAATCTAGATGAGAACCATGCTTGCATGCTGACCCCAGTCCAGCAGCCAGACCCTAAACTTCAAAAGGACACAAAAGCAGTGACGAGCAGTCAGGCTTGCAGAACTGTGGCCTCCATTTCTACCTGTTTCTAAAATATTACATGTTTATAACATATGATATTTCTGTTCATACCTAAAGCTTGTGACAGCAAATGTGTCAGCTTTTTTCTTTTTCAATTCAAATGTTTTGTCCTGTAGACATTACTGTGTACTTTATGTGGTTTTTTTGCCCTATTTAGCCTAAAGTATATTTTTTATGTATAAAGTTTTACTGGGTGATCTCTTTTCTTGCCTATGTAAATTCTTTGTTTTATGTGTATATGTGTTGATGCTAAGCTTAGTTTAAGAGATGTTAATCTCAGCAGACGTTTTGTTTGAAATTAAGGCGTAATAGATAAATAAAAAACAATGTGAAATAGGTCCGTGAAGGTTCTCAGTCAGCCAGGTCTGTCTAGATGCTTTTCTTTCCAAACTCCTTAGATTACAATGTGAAATAGGTGGAAAAACAATAGCAGTGAGACCCAAAGAGAAGGACTAACATGGATTGGGAAATGTACTCCTGATGTGAGAACTGCATCAGAAATCTGAACCTCCTTGCTTTTCTTTGATAATTATGACCACTTTTAGGTGAGTATTGTTCCCTACAGTTGAAATAGATCTAAACACCAAAACAGAGCATATAGCAAGCAGATCTCTGATGTGTGTGCTCAGCAATAAACAACACTAAATATTTTAACCCTCAAGGAGCTTGTAAAACATAGTGTGAGAGTGAAGTTAACCTCTCCTTTCTTCAAACTATTGAGGCACTTTTGAGTTTCTAAATGAGACCTGTATTTACAATGGTAATGTGAATTTAATTTATATAGCACATTTCATTCTAAGTAAACTCAATGTGCTTAACATATAAGATTAAATCATTAAAAAAATCTATGTAGGTCTACTATGCCTTAAGGCAATGAAACAACAAAGCAAGATTTAGACCCAAAAAAATCCAAGTTAACAAGGTTTTATATGTAAGATTTTAAACACAAGGCTGTGTGTTATGTAACAATATAGTGGAATTTAGGGTATAAAGTCACTGCCTCTGTGTGTGTTGTTGTGCATTTGATCCCCTCACAGCTTTAATAAATACCTGAAACATTCATTAATATGATTTTTACACCCAACATTTAGACATTTAGTCCATTTTAAACCAAAATCTTAAATCAATAAGATGAAGTTAAAGATCGCATTGGACATAAGTCAAATGGACTGTTAATATGACCACACTCTAAATACTTTCAGAAATCACTGAAAGTTTTTCAAGCTATCATGTTTACAAACAGAAAGATTGACGTCCATTCAAACGCTACCAAAAAATATAGTCTCCATGGTAGTGGTAATAAAGTAAGTCAAAGAAAAACAAAGAACTATCTAGGGACTGTGGTCATGGTGAGTAAATCGGTTTTAATTGAATTGAATTGCCCCATGCTTCACTTTATAAGGGTTCAGGTAAACTCAGTCAATTAAATAATTATACAAAAAATGAGCTTTCACAATAATACTATGATTCAATTATAACTGATAGAAAATAATCCCAATTTTTCTCAGTGACAACCTTTTTTTTCTCTGACTGGCTTAATATCTGAGTCTGAATCTGAACTGGACATCTCTGACAGGTTGCATCGTTCCAAATCCGTATCGACTGAGGTCAATTTCAGGAATCTTCTCATCAGGATTCATCAGCTCAAACTCAAAATAGACCAACATGAGGAAAACAAACTGTTTCAGCTCATTGGTGGCAAAGAAACGGCCAGGGCACATGGAGACCCCAGATCCCCAGGGCATGGTGTAATATTTTACCTTCTTTCCTGCTTTGTAAAAATCAGTTTTCTTGGTCCCGTCTGGATTCAGGAAGCGGTCATATTTGAATATGACCACTTCACCAACCATTCTCATGTTATTACGGTGTATCTATCCATATAAATGGCCCACCCTGTAGTTTTTTGTATGGAGGATCCATTTTAATTAGGGCTTATGTTGGGTTTTTAACAAAGGACTGGACTGGAAACCACCAGTAGGAACCTGTATGCTATGGAAGTGTAAGGAGAAAAAAAACCTCCTGTGCAATTAGGAGGTGGACAACCTCCTAATTGCAAAACCATGAAAGCACCTACTGTAAGACCTGGAGAAGAGTTTCATTCCAAGGATCTAGTGTGGAAACTCACTCCCCCCTAACACAAAGCCTATTAACTTTCTTAGGAAGACGCAAGTTTGCAGATACACCATACTGCCAAAAGTATTTGCTGGTCTGTCTTCCCACTCATATAAACTTGAGTGACATCCTATTCTTGATCCATAGGGTTTAATATTAATTTAACTCCCCTGGGAAGGCTTGCCATATTGTTTAGGAATGTGTTTCGGGGAAGTTTTGAGCATTCTTGCGTTCTTTTCACTGGATTTACGGGGGAAAGCCCAACTCCTGAGAATCACCCCCACATCATAATCTCCCCTCCACCAAACTTTAGATTTGGCACAATGAGAAAGGGAGAGACTGATCGTTAAGACACAGAGCAAAGAACGAATGCATTTCAGCGGTCTTGTAGATCATCACCTTCACAACCAGAGAACTAAACTGGTGCCTGATTTTAATCTCAGAATTCTAAAAAGAAAAAAGGCATGGCCCAAATGAGCTGATATTTTATATTTTTATTTAGCTATCCTAAACTCTTCTGCAAAAAAATAAGGCCATTTGGCAGGCCTAGTGTCAAAACCTGTTTTTTTCATGGTTGGCTGTGTGGCAGGCAGGAAAAAGGACCCAAAATGCAGGACTCTCAGAGACAGGACTTAAACTGAAAATGCAGCTTTATTGCTGGAAAAACTCCTCAAAATAAGACTCACAAGAAAAGAACAAAAACTCTGAACAGAGGTGCTGGAATACTGGAACACAACAAACACACAGCATGGAGAAAGTACGACACGACAGAGAGCACAGGAAAACACAGGGCTTATATACACAGGGAAGTAATCAGGGAATGAGAAACAGGAGGGAGACACAGCTGGGAGAAATTAGGTTAACGAGACAAGGGAGAAGTAAAACTGAACACACTGACATGAGACATGAACTTTCAAAGTAAAACAGGAAACCAGAAACAATTCACAAAAGATGCGGACTGAGAAACATGGACTTTACACAGAGGGACACACGAGCAGAGAAGACTAAGCACAGAACTAAACCTATACTAAACAGGAGGGCAAGAGAACAAAGCCTAAACCAGAATAATTATAATAAATGTCAAGAGATTTATTCTAAAAGACACTTCTTCAGCTGAGAGTCTAAGAGTGAAGACACACACACACGCTGCAGATTTTTCTTGCAAGGGTGGTCGCAGAGCGCTCACACGAGAGTGGGGGCCCTGTGATCAGCGCTCTGTTCTTGCACTTGTCTTTATTTAGACACAAGAAAAATAAAAACATTTGTTCAGTGGAATGTTGATACGTGAGCATGTGACTGTGTGTGTGTGTGTGTGTGTGTGTGTGTGTGTGTGTGTGTGTGTGTGTGTGTGCGAGGTCAGAACTGGGGAAGATTCAGATAGAATAATCAGAACACGTTTTACAAAGGACAATCAGTTCTAAGCAAGGAAAAATACTGGCTACTTAGTACAATTTTCCATTGACAATAATCAACACATGACAGCTAAAGAATCAGAACATAAATATAATGAACATAATCTAGAAAAACACCAAAATAAAAGAAACCGAAAAAGCTGGGTCAAAATTACCCAGAACCGTGACAGTTTTCTTCTTAGTTATAATTTACTTGAACAATGACTGACTGTTCCTAAACAATTCTGGTAAAAAATAAACCAGAATCACGCATCTAGTGTCAACAGCATGCAATGCCATTGACCCCTCAAAACTTTATTTTTCTTACTTATGATTAACTAGAGTGATATTTCTTGCCAGTGTGCACTCATTGCTCCACAATCTCTTCATACCTGCTGTCATAGAGCTGTTAACATAAACATAATATCACTGCAGGCTACAGTATGTTCTTTTGGATTTCGAAAGAGGGGAATCTCTAGGACAATTGGAAAATCGTGTCCTCAATTGATACTTAAGTACATTTTTGTTTTTTTTTTAGTAAACAATTCCAAACAAATTCGCAGAAACCTATCCTGGGGGAGGAGCAAAGGTCTGTTCATTATAGCAGGCCTGAAACTTTCCTTCAGATGAATCTGTGCTGGTTAACTGAATCAGTCATGGAGCTGCTGCTGCCGATACTTCTTGGCTTTCTTGCTTGTCTGGTCGGAGGGCTGTACCTTCTCGGAGTGTTCAGACAGCAGCGACCAGGAGAACCCCCCCTCGATAAAGGGCTCATTCCTTGGTTGGGTCATGTCTTAGAGTTTCGCAGGAACACCTTGAAGTTCCTAGAGAGAATAAAGAAGAAGCACGGTGATATATTTACAGTACAGCTGGGAGGGTTTTATATTACATTTGTCCAGGACCCTTTTTCATTTGGGGGGTTCATTAAGGAGAGTCGGGACAAACTGGACGCTCGAAAGGTTGCTCTGCATCTGGCGCACAGAGTGTTTGGATATAAAGCTGTTGAAGGGTGGCACGGTATTCTCCGCATTACCAGCAACAAGCACCTGAAGGGGGAAAGTCTGCAAGAACTGACCCAGTCTTTTATGAGTAATTTGCAGAACATGTTGTTGCACAACATTGGATCAGCTGCAGAGGACAGGACCTGGAAAGAAGATGGACTGTTCAGGTACAGCTACAATGTTGTTTTCAGAGCTGGATATTTGGCCTTGTTTGGCAATGTGCCACCCAAGTCAGAACAAAGTGAGGAGAAAGCCAAAGAGAAAGACAGAGCTGAATCAGAAGCTTTGTTTCAGGAGTTTCGTAAATATGACCAGCTCTTCCCCAGACTGGCGTATGGGGTCCTCCCACCGATGGAAAAGTTGGCTGCAGAGAGGTTGAAGGCATACTTCTGGGATGTTCTGTCAATACTGAAAATGAAAACCAAGGATAATATCAGTGGCTGGGTGTGGGACATACAGCAGGGTAAAGAGGAGATGGGCATCGATATGTCAATGATAAACAGATACATGTTTGTGCTTCTTTGGGCCTCTCAGAGCAACACAGGGCCTTCTTCATTCTGGCTGCTCTTCTTCCTCATGAAACACCCAGAAGCCATGAAAGCAGTGAAGGAAGAAGTGGATAAAGTTCTGAAAGAATCTGGACAGGAGGTCCGGCCCGGTGGTCCTATGGTCAACCTGACCTGTGAAATGCTGTTGAAAACACCGATCCTGGACAGTGCTGTCGAAGAGAACCTCCGACTCACTGCTGCACCCCTCCTCACCAGGGCAGTGATAAAGGACATGACCTTCAAGATGGCTGATGGGCGAGAATATTTACTTCGCAAGGGTGACAGAATTGCAATCTTTCCTTTCAGTTCTGTCCACCATGACCCAGAGATCCATCCTGAGCCGCACTCATTCAAATATGACCGCTTCCTGAATCCAGACGGGACCAAGAAAACTGATTTTTACAAAGCAGGAAAGAAGGTAAAATATTACACCATGCCCTGGGGATCCGGGGTCTCCATGTGCCCTGGCCGTTTCTTTGCCACCAATGAGCTGAAACAGTTTGTTTTCCTCATGTTGGTCTATTTTGAACTTGAGCTGATGAATCCGGATGAGAAGATTCCTGAAACTGACCTCAGTCGATACGGATTTGGAACGATGCAACCTGTCAGAGATGTCCAGTTCAGATACAGACTCAGATATTAAGCCAATCAGATAAAAACAAAAGTCTTATCTTTAAACACCTTTTTTTGTATAATTCTTTTGATGATACATGGAGACTTATAAAATGAAGCATGGGAACACATGTATTGCAGATTTTCTGTTACATTTTCCATATCCAAATTAAGTAGAATTTTTCTGAAAATCAGTGCCAGCCGTCCATCTCCTTCTATTTATCCAGTCCAAGACTGCAGTGGAATTGGAGTCTTTTCCAACTGCTATAGGGCAAGAGGCTGGATACACAATGGAGAGAAAACAGTTTTGTTTTTTTGTTCTTAAAATTTCAGATTTTTGAATTTTCTGTGATTCTGCTTCTGCACACTTTGTTACTCTGTGAATAAACAAGGCTTTAATTGGAATAAGTCTACATGAGTATTGCATTTGTACTGGTCTCATTACATATGTATATCTGTTCATCTAGTCTGGTTTGTTGAGGTTAGCAAAGAGTTTCATATGGAGTTCTCTGGTGGGAAGCCTCCTGAACTGACCTCAGCACAGTTGTTATTCATAGTATATGCATGGTTTTTTGGTTTTCTTTGATTTGATTTGTTATATTTGTTATTTCTAGGGCTTTGTATCTTCTTCAGTTTTACCCATTGCCATGCTGAACTGCACACATCTGCAAGCCACATGGTCTGTTTTGTCATTTGCATTATCAATAACTGAACTGACTCCTCCCAGGTGCCAGCTTCTTTATTTTGACAGTGCAGCAGTCAAGAGGGGAGTGAGAACAGTGAAAGACACACAGCAAACTGCCAACATTGAACTGTATAGAATATGGTCACCTGCTCAGCCAGTGGGGTTTAATCTCGGAATTCAAAACAATAAAGTCATGACCCAAACCTTTTCTATCTCTTGTGCAGAAAATTACCTGAGTCGAACTTGTTTTCTTAATAGAATGAACTAGAACAACAGCTGATGTCAATGTCCAACTCACTTGTCCTCATTTTCCTGATACCTGCCATCTGAGTTGTATGTTTTGAGAGAAGGGAGAGCATCACAAAACAAGTTAAAAAGGGTCACATATAACCAGGCTGAACAACAACAACCCAAATTCATCAAGAATCTAATATGGAATCGCGTCATACTATATCACTGTCATCAGGTGGGGTCAATGCAAAGTAAACGTAGCCTATGTTTCACCTGATGGGGTAAAATGTTGCTGTCGATCTGTGACTGTAGAGTAGAGTCCTATGGACTCATTAAAAAGTCCATAGGAAAGATGGTAGCTGATTAAACAAGTGCACACACGCATGCGCATACAGTGACATTTTATACCTTCTCCAGAACACTGTATATACTATGGCCAAAAGATTCGATCATAATTCTGATCCAGAATTCTTCCCTTATTATTTCAAATTCAAATTCAAATTTTATTTGTCACGTACACAGTCATACACAGTACGATATGTAGTGAAATGCTTGGACAACTGCTCGTGACCTAAAGGGGGGAAAAAAAGGAAAAGGCTATGAATAAGATAGGAAATAAATATGAAAAATTAAAAAGGGTCAATTTAACTAGGAAGGAATAAAATATAAATTAAGGTTAAAAATGAAATAACTGTACAACACAAATTAGAATGAAGG